GCAAGCCAATATAGAAGCAAACCTAGTATGAAATTCATACCTGCTTTGATGTTGCGTGGCTATGCTGTTCCCTCGGATTGAAGGATGCATTCTGCTACCAAATTAAAAAAGTCTTGAAATCTGCATTAAAAGAGGTGCTCTTGACACACATGATTTTGCAAATGTAATACTAGAATAATTATCCAAATACGTTGCTGCATGCAGGTCTCCTCTAGCAGTTTTCCTCCATTTCTGGTTCTGTGCTGTCCTGCCTTATTATTTCTGACCAACGGGAGCATTGATCTTGACATGCATGGCTTTGCTGTGAGTTAAAGTCTGCTTGCAGAAAACACAATATAAGTCCGCTTTTGGTTTGGACCAAACAAGCAGACTGAAGGATTTTTCTGGTGTGATTGCACTCTTACCACAGTGAAGCAACATTTTGAAAGACTGTGGGGACTTTACACAAGTGGTCTTAAGAGTGAGCCCACACAGCACTTATGATAAACCAGGCTCTCTGAGCATATGTGCTGCAGGCATTCACTTCCATTTAAATCTCTTCAGACAGATGATATTCTCCATATATTATATTTTCCTTGTCTCGCATCTGTCTGTTCTTTTAAACAGGGTAGGAGGTGGGGGAGTTAGACACAGGTTGAAGGCCACATGTGGAAATACATGACTTAGGGCATGACACATGTGCTTCTACATACAGGTGGCTTTTGGCACGCATCAAATGCAGAAAGGTCAAATTTGGCACTTTTCCAGACGGTGCTTTGAGCCTTGACCCTTGCTGTTCTACTGAAATAGCACATGCTTATGGGCTTGCCACCTGTTTCAACTGAACAGCTATTTCTACCACTCACACTCATACAAGTGGAGCTGTCATGTAGTATATATATATATGAATATATGTAGTGCTGGAGCACCACAACAGGAAAAGACTGACGATGTTCTGGGAAACTCCCAGTTCAGCTAAATATAAAAGTAATTTCCTCTTTTCTGAAATACCCTGTTGTAAAATGTTTTGGCAGACTGGGTGAAAAAATATCAGCTTCTGTATTTTAACACAATAAATCTCTATTAGGAGTGTTTATATCAGCTTAGCATCAAAAACAACTTTTTACTTGATGGTTTGCTGTCATAGATGCATATTTTAGGCTGTTTTAGTGCTTTTCCATATGTTAATAAATCTCCTTTTCTTGTGTCACAAATAAATTTAGTTTTATTCCATGTAGAATATCTATTTGGCTGATTCATTAATCTCTTTCTCTTGTCAGCAGGTTAAATTCACTTTGTATCTTGATATTTATGTGAGAGAAATGGCCCAGTTAAGGCGACAAGGCAACTCAAAAATGGAAAAAAAGAAAATGCATTAGAAAGTACATTTCAGATAATAATTAAAAGAGTAAAAGGTAACTCCAAGCAATGTGTTTTAACCTTGACATAGACAAACTCAGGGTTTGCTGTTTCTCTATTTTTGGTTTATATTCCTGGATGTACAGTAGTCTTGAACCAGAGGAAGTTTGTGGTCTGGAGGGTTATAATAATGAAATCTGTTGTGTATGTTGGCGCTAGACTCATGTGTTTGCTGAAATATGATGGTCTAGATGTGTAAAACGAATATATGTATACAGATATATATATATATATATATATATATATATATATATATATATATATATATATATTCATTTTATGTATATTTTTAAGAAGTATCTTGGCCTTTATAAGAAAATTAAAGTGTTTTGAACTCAATGTTAAAGTTTTTCAAAGGAAAAAAAAACTGTGGAATTTACAGTATGAGTCTAATTCTGAAGGCAGTCCAGAGAGAAATCTTCGAGTGCTGAGGGAGGAGATGGTAGACAGAGTTTTGGGAGCACCATCCAGATAGGGAGCACACTATCATGTCTGTGTAGAGGGTGAAAGGGATGATTCAGTTTATGCATCATGCAGGCAAGAGCAGTGAAGTGCAGAGTTGCATGTAGATTTCTCTGCTGTCAGAGGCGCACTTGTTCTCATACCCTCCAACTTTCTCCACATTTGCTCGGTCAGATCCATGCTGGCTTCTTTTGCTTACTGACACACAACCCAAATACTAATGATAAATCCCAGGTTTTTATTAGAACTTTGCTGCATAAAAAAGCTTCTCCTATTTCCTGTCTGAGTTTTTTTTGCTTTCCAAACCAGCATCCGAGTGGTTATTGACTAAGAATCTGGATCTACATGACAGAATCCAGGAATAGACTGCTCACTATGGTCTGCCATTGATTTCCACAGCTCACATGAAACTGAATCTCCATTTGGTTGCGTCTGAGCAGCTTCTTGTGGCAGGTGTAATGGAGCATTTGAGGTTGTAACTGGGGTGTATGTGCTGAGGTTTTCCTTTACGCCTCACTGTGTTCAGTAGACTTACATCAATGAATTACCCTATAACTCTATTACTGTTTTAATAGAGAGGTTTTGACTGTATTGGTGAGCAGATTATTTTATTTTTACTTTATTAGTAGAGGACATAAACTGAAACAAGTTAATAAATTACTGCAATCTATATAAATTTTCACAAATTGAATAAGTTCAATTTTAAGGTTTCCTATACAGGCATCAAAATTAAATTTTGATTTCAAACTGTTGTTTATCATCTTAAAGCTTTATCGAAGGTTTTTCAGTACAATCATATTAATATAAGGAATTCAGACATTTATTTCTACTTAACTTCCATTATAACACAAGAAGATACACAGATGGTTAATAATTTATTACAAATCAGTTTGCTTAAACTGAAAACAAAACTAAAACCTTAATCAACAATGTCACATTTTCAGCTCTGCCTGAGATGAACACAAGAAAAAGGAAACTTTAAATCCCTAGTATGTGCTGTTACATTTTCACATTCACATACTATAAGAAGCAGACCGCGTTAACAAGAAAGAGACATGTCTAGGGTTCCAATAACCACGTGTTTATTAATGGTTTTTCCTGTCAAATGAATTCTAAATTGGCAAATGATTCATGTATGACTGTCTGGCTTTAACCAGGATATGCTGGACAATGCTTAAGTTATACTTAATAGCAACACTTTATTACAGTATAATTACCAGTATTCCTGTTTGCTGCAGTTAAACTTTAGTTTAAGTTGGATTTAGCTAGAGTTACAGGTGTTCTGTAGCACTGCCCTGTTTAAACTGGAATGAGAGAAGCTAGCTGCTGTCATGTGCATGTGTCTTATAAAAGCCAAGCTAACTGGATGCCTATTGACACTGTAGCTTATATTAATGTTAATATCACTTAAATATAGCTTTTAAAACCTGCAAAATTTATTTAGTGATAAATTTATTTGTAGTTTTGTTTTTCATGGCTTTCCCTAACAATATAATAAATATTTTAAGTTGCCCAGTTGGTTACATCAGAATCCTAGTTGTGCTCGTATGTTCATTATGTTGTAAATTAACTTCCAAAGTGTTTTTCTTTTCTTTAACAAGCCCACTAATATTTGTGCTTGTGGGGTCTGAGCAGGGGGTGAACCCAGATTTACTTTTGAAGGATTAATCTGAAGGTGTGATTGTGATTATTTTATTTTACAAACTCTATTCAAATCAAACGGCTGTATTTTATTCTTAAATTTGATACTTTCTGCTCACCATAGGAGTTTTCTTTTTCTTATATCGGATCTATTTAACTTTGTCTCAGTCTGGCACGTAATTATGCAGCATCCTACTTCTTTACAGCACAAAAAAAAACTCAAACTCTCCTTCCTTGACAGTCGGAATACATTTTTTGGTCCACTTGTATGATCCTTTAACATTTACCCAATGCCTTGTTTATGCCATATGTTTATGTTTTTGTGGCTTTACTCTGACTGTACTCTTTTTCTCCCCATTGTCCAGAAGTTCTTGCACTGTTGTTTAATATTAAGCAACATGAAGGCAGAAAGCAAATTCCTTTTTTGATAAATTCATTAAAGACACTTCATTGGTTTTATCTGACAAACCTGAAGAACATACAGCCAGACTGTAATCACACCTTAGGGTAAATGGAGGAAGTGAGTTGGAGCTTCCACACCGCAGAGTGACTATCACATGTGAATGACTCTTGCTGAAGGCTGCAAAAGACAAAATAAAACAGAATCACAAGAAAGACACTAGAAGAAAAAGACTTTTTACAGAAAATTGATCTAAGATCAGTGACTCAGGTGCTAAGTTGTCGATAGGGGTTATCGGGGGCAATGTTGGGGCTAAATCTGAAAGACCAATATGAAAGGATATGTGATAAAAAGCTAAGCAACAGCAAATAGATGAGCTATTTAAGCATATTTAATGTTGCTTCATCAGAAACATCAGTGGATAACTGTTTGGAGAAAACACAGTAAACCATAATCAAGTGCAGGTGGCTTCTTAATGCTGTTTTCACTTTCTCTCTGAAGTGACTACTTAGATCTGGTAATAACATCCAATCCAATGCTGGCTTTACAATCTAATTAAATTCAGTCCTATTCACTTCATTTATATAGTGCCAATTCACAAGTGTAATCTCAAGGTACTTTAAAGTCCATTTAAGTAAATAACACAAACAGATTTTGAAAAAAGTTTTGTATTTAAAGAAACCCAGCTAAATGCCCTGAGTCACTGACTTGGAGATTTCACTCCTCCTGGATGAGCATGTAGCGATAGCAGACAATCATTGACGTTGTGTGACTGAATTTGAAGCAATCCCTCATGTAGTTGCATGTAGCTACAGTACACCCTCAATAAAACTTAAACATGCAGTTTAACATGAAAGCTTTACAGAAGTTACAGGCTATGAAGTGTCTTTGCTCCAGCACCTGCATCAAATGATTGTGTTCCTTTCTCAGTGGCAACCATGGGATTAAGGGGCCTGCTAATCACCCATCTATTTAAGTCAGGCGTGTTGAAAATGGGATATACCCAAAATATGCAGGAGAGTAGATCCTGAGGACATATATATATGAAAAGCTTGCTAATGAAAAATACTAATATAACTTTATGTATTTTTCTTCAAAGGTATCTGCTCAGACCCTGTGGTTTAGTGGATGCATGGAAGAGGCTTTCCGTCATTCTCTCGGGTCACCAGTTGCCATCTCAGACAACAAGAGTCTCCCGTCTTTGCAAGATCTTTCTGGTTTTCCCTCTGAAGCGCTTGGAAATACAGGAGAAGAGCAACAGATAAAGGAGACAGAAGCAGAAGATCTTCATGTATTCCCTCAAAGCCTAAAAGAGACAAATAGTGACAGCTGGCTGGTGGACCTGAGGGGGCATGGGGACGATGAGGATGGTTTGGCTGTGTCTCCTAGCCTGCAGTGTCCTACTTATTGGTTTCCTTCACGTGGCTGTCACAGAAAATGATGTCACTCCACGCCTCAGCTTTCCCTACAGTAAGTTGCTTCTTTATAAAACAAAACCATTTACTAGTCTTACATAGGATATTCCCTATGTTGATGATTGCTTAAAAAACTTTAAGAGTTTGGGCTCTTTAAAGAAACTTACAAAAGTTTTCATACCATTTAAACCTGGAAGATATTTTTTACATTTCAATTTTATATGATCAACCAAACAGAGTATATTTCTAAAACAAAACATAACCAAACATAGCTTTCCTATTAATTCTAAAAAGTTTCCCTGTTCCTGCTACAAAAAAGGTTTTTCATTGCACAATTCTACTGCCACCATCTTTCAATTTTTTTTTAAATATTTTTATTCTCTTTAACTAAATTTTCCCTCTCTCTAAATTATTTTTGATTATATTTTAATGTTCTCATTATTTATTTTCCGTTTTCTTTCTTTAATCTGTAAACAACATTAATAAATTGATTGATTGATTGATTGATTGATTGATTGATTGATTGATTGATTGATTGATTGATTGATTGATTGAATGACCTTTCATCAGGGGAAAGTGTGTTCAGATGGAAAGCATATGTTAATTATTTTTCACATTTTACTTGTAGGCCAAAATGTTTAGATCGCCCTCTTTTATGTCTTTCATGTCCGCAGAATAGTGGCAAACCTCTCACCATGTTTTTCTTTATTATTGTTTCTCTAATTTAAAGGCCCAATTTCTTGTATAAAAAAATACCACTTATCCTATGAACAGCTTTTCCTAACTGCAATTTTGATACCTTTTAAAATTACTTTTCCTCACAGTTCTTCTTCTTTTATTGATTGTTAGTATTGTTGCACTTCTATATTCTTTCTATTGTCCATTAAAGGGCACACATCTTTGCTCAAGCAATTAAGCAAAATACTCTTAAAGGTTGTTAGTTGCCTAGTTGCCCTGAAATTTATATAGCTGCATAAAGAAATGAGAAAAACACTTTTCAAAATTTTGTTTGTCAATGATTTTAATACTTGTCTTATAAATAATTTTCTCTCAATTACTTAACACAGTTTGTGTTAATATAGCACACAGAATGGAATGATATAATAATGTAAAGAAAACTCCAGTGTGCTGTTGACATGTTAAAACCACAAACCTTACTGTGCAGATTCTTGTACAAACAGTGTTTTAAAGTCAAAAAGGTGCTTTGTGTTTGCTCCGGAGATGCCCGAGGCTCCAGAAGTAGTAATGTCAGACACTTTTGCTTGAACCACAACATGCAGCCAACTGTCATTCAACAGTAACCAAACAGACTAATTAAAGGACCTCCAAACTCACAAAAGCTATGAATGAACAGACCTTTGCATTCTGGGAAGTCTAGAGGTAAAAAAAAAGAAAAAAAGAAGAAAGCACCATTAATAACGTAATTCCAAGTTTTTTCACGTCATTAACTTCATGCATTAGGGATGTAAATATAATGTAAATCCACAGCAAATGACAGCCTGATTTGTACAGGCCTTTTGTTGTTTTAACCCATTCAGAACCATTTCTTGCAACAACAAAAAATATCTTAATATCTCTGCCTTTAAAAATGTTACAAAACTTTGAAGCAATGGGAATACTTCTGTCACATTTCACTGATAAAATATATTGTAGCTGACATGAAGCTTTATGCTTTTTCCATGCAGGAGGATTTACGATTATTAAAACAGACCATGTAGTAAATTCATAACCATGGACCTAATTATTGTTGTGATGCAACTCAATTGACAAGCTGGATTTAAACACAAATTGTGTCTCATTATCTCTATAGAAATTAAACACAATGAGAGATTAAAGAATCAGTGAAGGCTTTCAGAATTTAAACTGTGGTGAGTGACTCAGAGTTCATCATATAATGTCAGGAAAGGTTGTGTGGAAGGATTTCGTTGAGTGATCTTATATAGTCGTATGATTCCCTTTTCAGTAATACTCTGTGCTGTGCACGCTTTCTGAAAACTAAGCTGAGCAGCTTGTCTGAGCTTGCACCTTCTCTAGATGTTGGACTTTTTACCTGAACATGTAATCTCTCTAACCTCCCCAGTCTCTGCAGGGCCCATAGAGCAGCCCTGGCTGAGTGTTTCACAACAACACACATCATCAATCACTTTGTGAAAAGATGCTTTATGCACTCCTCTGTTCTGCTGCAAAGATTTGCTTTTAGGGTGTAGAGCCAGAGTTAAACAATGCCATAAAACATGCATGACCTGCGTGCCTCAAGTTGTCAGTATATAAACTAATGCATGCATTAAGCGTTACTGACGCCAGTAAGTTTTTTTTTTTTTATCTTGTTGGTTTGACTTAAGGTTAATTAGACCCTAGTCCAGCCTGTGCAAAAAGGATCATTCAGCTTAAACATAAAATAGTTATTCAATGTGCATGAGAGCTCTGAATGCAAATAATCTCTTATGAAAACATGCCCTGTTTATATTTAGATTGGATTAGAACACATAGTTATACAAACTCTAAGTTTTAACCACTAAAATTTATTTTATCATAATCTTGTGATAGGCGTTGCCTAGCTGTGAAAACGTCAGTTCGGTTAAAGTAACATGTTCCAGTTTCCTTTGAGAAATAAATTGTGTACACAATATCAAAGCTAACTGCAGAACTACAAGCCTTAGACACGTGAACTTTATACAGCAAAAACTGCAGGGCCTCATCACGGCTTCCGGTGCTCGCTGTCCTATCTGGAGTCTGTTAGCTTGACAGCTTGCATGCCTAAACTCTTACAGTTTGGGAAGGCCTGAGAGTCAGCTGGTCAATCTTTATCAGTAACATCCACAATAACTAACATCCTTTCCACTTCCCTCTGGGTCCCTCTTGGTCCCCCTCTAGTCCTCGCCCCTGCCTTAATGAAGAGGGTAGTCAGCCATTAATAATGAAAGGGAATTTGTATGTGCTATGGTGCGAACACTTGTCTGGTTCTCATTATGCGCCTATCACTACAGATCATAGGTTCATGAAGCCTGCATCTGCCTCTTCTTTGCTTTTGTTCCAGGCTTTTAATGCAGACCATGCTGAAAGGCTTTGTGTTTTGAGCACCTTTTAAAGGCAAACCTAAAAGCCCCTTTTATCCCTATTTTTTCCCAGTTGATCCATCTTTAACATACCAGATGTGCTAGGAGCCTCCCTGCAGCTGTAGTGGGAGCAAGACAATTTAAATTATTTAAATGCTTGATGTGTTCAAATTAGTTAAATCAGCCCCTCTGTGATAATTTAAATCGGCTGTGTCAAGTGATCATATAGCTTTATGCTGTTTGTATCTAAAATGTTTTTAATGTTGGAGTTTGTTCTTTGAATATAAAGGAGTATAACTATAGGAAAGGCACAACCGTAACATTTTACCAATGGGAAATTCTTAGCTTGATCCAATGCACTTTATTACAATAAAATAAAAAAAATATATATCACATAAAACATCTAAATTACCTCAAAAGATATCCATGTGTTTTATAAAGCCCAGATTTAATTCTTCATTTTAGGCTAATTTAACCAAATAACAGTTTGATAAAGCTCAAAGATTTGGCTGCTGTCTGCACTCCATTTATTACATAATCGGGTAACCTGTCAGAACAAAGCACTAATTTGGAAAAAGTAAGTTTTAAAAAGAATTAAATGTGAAATTCAGACAGGGTTGATAAAAAGGTTGTTGTTTGTTTGTTTGAACAATGATGCAATAACTCTCTCTTACAAACTCCTGAATCCAACGTTTCGTATAAGGGAGCATGATGTTACCATCATCACCTCCACTGTATTAGGGAAACCTTGTTAATATTGGTTAAACACTGTCATACCTACATATTTACCTCAGTTCTTTGTGGAATACATTTAACAACCTGTTGGTGGCTTATTCTTTAAAGCTCTTAGTCCAGATTGGCACGATACCACAGCATGATGCAAAAATCCCATTTTACCACATCTTAAATGTCTTCAAATTAAATTAAATCTGGTGGCTGTGGATGGAGTTGGAGTGTTTTAAACTTATTGTAATGTTCAAATAAACCAAAAGGAGCTATACTGATCTGTGGGTGACACAGTGCTTTATCCTGCTGAAGTATCCATCAAGATGTTGTTATAAGTTGGTCATAAAAAGACAAAGAAATAATGCTCAGGTTTGGGTAATATTGAATATTTTGATTGAGATTACCCACATTTTTCTTTGTCTTTGGTCCTTTCCCTTCATCATTCACTTTTCCAAGCATTCAAATCTCAATTGATTATGTTAGCTAAAGGCAAACAGGGCAGTAAGAGTCTACGTGTAACATAAAAATTTTTAAATTTTTTCCAATATCTTAGTCATGCAAAGTTTTGCAGAGATAATATTGTACATGCTGGCATCAAAATGATAATTTATGATTCTGTTATTGAGCAGCACTAGTTCAAAAAATTATCAGTTGGTGGTAAGGGTACTGCCATGAAAATATATCCCGCACCTTAACTCCTCTGAAACCATCCCAATCCTTTGAAAAGAGGCAAGATGAATCCATGATTTCATGCTTTTTATACAAACTTTGACATTAAACCATCTGCAACTTCCTGCACAATTATCATCAATTCTTTAAACTGCTAATTTGCAGCTTTTGTGAGCTGCTGTAGTTGTAGCCTTGTTCAGGTAAAGTGTTCTGCATTCTTGTACTTAGTGGCCATTTGAGGTACAGTTGCCTTTTAGGATCTCTGAACAACCTGCTAATTATCCTTCACAATCCCTTTTTGTCTTGCTTCTATTCAGAACATTCTCAATAAACCAGAGGTCTTGTGTTTGATAACTCCAGCAGATCAGTATTTTCTGAATTATTAAGATTGTGTTGTCTAATAACAACCTTGCCGCAGTTTAACTCATCTTTCTGTCTGATTTGGTTGCCCAGTTTTTGCTTCAGAAATCATCTAAATTGCATCTAAATGCCTCATTATCTTAAGGTAAAAGCATGTGATCCATATTTAGGTTAATCACATCTTATGTCTTATATGCTAACAGGACTTTGAAACAGTTAAGTTTGGCTGGAAGCCCATTAATTG